GCTTGCCCCAAACATCGAATTAAATTTGAATTTAAGCCGCCAAGCTGGCCTGACCCAGCCCCCGCTATAGAATGGATTAAATTTGAATTTAATCCTTTTTAGAATTTGAAATTCAGCCTCATCCTGTATATATGTATGTATGTAAGTATGTATGTATGTATGTACGTATGTATTTTTGCGCGTATGCATGTATGTATGTCTGTCTGTATATGTATATGCATATGTATATGTATGTGTAGATGTACATATATGTATCTATGTATGTATGTATGTAGATAGAGAGAGGGAGAACGAAAGAGAGAAAGAGAGAGAGAGCTGGTGACACAGATGCATGCATGCATACATAATGCATGCGAACGTGCTCACAGACATGGGTACGTAGTCACAAGGATTTGTGGAAGTGTTTCCCTAAACCCTAAACCCTAAACCCGAAACCCGAAACCCGAAACCCGAAACCCGAAACCCTAAAGCCAAGGCTACATCTGGAGCGCTCCAGGTCTCTTCCACTCCTCTCTTTGTTTTCTGCTCCTGTGACCGGGCCCGCATGTCCTTTTGGTGTAATGTAGGGTTTAGGGTTCAGGGTTCGGAAAATTATAAGTGTAGGGTTCAGGGATGCCAGTGGAGTTGCAAGGTCTCCCAAACCCGCCCCCCGCCCTTTCCTCACCCCCCCACCGGACCACCGACCCGGAGCGCCCACTCTGAATACACACCGCTCAGGGGAGAGTTGATCAGAGGAGCTGGGGCTGTCATATAGAGGTGTGAAGAATGAGTATCATCAACGCCCCGTTTTTAGTCCGTGTATGTGTGTATATCATATGGCCCCAAATCCCTGTCAAAATAACCAAGGCCCCTCTATCGTAGTTTCTCATAACAACGATTGAAATCCCTCATGAATTCCTTTTAGAAACCATTTGCAAACGATCCCGTAAGACTTCACAAAGACCCATTTTTGAAGAGTCGGCTTACGTTGCATTGGGCGTAGGTTTGAGGGAGGGTTCGCGTGTTCGGTCTGTGCTTTTTGGCATTGAAGTTATAATAACCTCGAGGATCAAGGTTTGGGCTTGATTCAGGGCCTTTGAGAAACTTTGGGTTATCAGGGTGTATAGAACATCACCTATGCACACACCCAGTATCCTGTTTTGAGCATCGCACCTCGAAGATGAGCTCTGTCAGAGCTGCCTTGCAGCTTATCGTGCCGAATGCTCGACATTCAGCGGCTTAGATCCATGAGCCTTATAGTCCCAATTCGTTAAATGAAGCCAAAAGAATCACTTGGGTGCCAAGGTGGTTCTTGACAAAGTGCATCGAGGGCTCCTGGAGCAACCATTTCGTGGCCATGCTAGCCATGCATCTTGGTTGTAGCCCTGGGGTTGCTTGGGATACATATCTATTTATATTCATACATATAGGTACACGTATACATATACATATACATACACATATACACGTATACACATATATACATATATACACATATACACATATACGCATACACACATATACACATGCACACATACATACATACATACATACATACATACATACATACATACATATGCTGTATGGGTTCAGGGGCCCGCCGCTGCAGTTTGGGCAGCAGCAGCAGCGTTACCGCTGTCATTCCTGCTAGCACCACTGGCATTGACAAACCCCTAAACCCCCAAACTCCGAACAAAAAACCTAAACTCCTAAACCTTGAAACCCTAAACCCTATCCCTAAACCCTAAACCCTATCCTCCTAAACCCCGAAGCCCTTAAAGGGTTCTGGTACTGTCGCTTTAGACCTCGAGCCTTCTCGGCGAAGTCCTGAAGAAAACAAGCCATCTCACAGGTTTCCCAAGAGCATTTGGGTTAGAGTTTAGGTTGGTTGGTTGGTTGGTTGGTTGGTTGGTTTAGGGTTTAGGGTTTAGGGTTTAGGGTTTAGGGGTTTAGAGTTTAGGGTTTAGGGGTTGGGGCAGTTTGGGGTTTTAAGTCATCCCGATACGTTTACCCCTAAATTCGACAACCCCTTGAACGAACTAAGGCTTAAAATCCGTCCGTGAACCTTAAACTTAGCCCGTACAAGGCCCATTTAAACCTAACACCGAAAGCCTCTCTTGAAAACCCTGAACGTAAATCGGAAAATCCCTACGCCCGAAACCCCAACCTAAACTTAAACCCAGAATTCTTTTTTTGTCAGCCGACAACCCTACAACCCTAGACTTGTGTCAGCCGTCATATACACATTAAACCCCAAACTCTAAGACAAGCCCAAGCTGGAGCCCTACAATCCTTGTTCTGTCAACCGAGATATACACCTGAAACCCCAAACTCTAACCGAAGCCCAAGCTTCAACCCAAAACCCCAAAACTCTAAACCCCCAAGCCCAAACCTCAACAACTGCATGAACACGGCACCATATTTGGGTAGTTCTCTAAATTAGGGCCCCTCTTTAGGTCCCCATTATAGTACGGCACCGTTATAAAAAGGATCCCAAAAGAGACCCCAATTGAGAGAACTCCCCATTTGTCAGCCGAGGTATGGCGTCGGTCAGCTCTTCTACTCTAAGCCTGAGCTGCTTCTGCACGTCTTCAGTGCAGAAAACCTCTACTTCTGAGATTCGGAACGAGGGTTTAAGGTAGAGAAGTGTAGATAGGGTTTATAGGTTCCTTGACATGAGGGATCTTTTGGGTTCCTTCGGATAGGGTGTAGCGGTTGAAAGGATTGGGCTATAAGGTTGGAGAGTGTATAGTTTGGGGTTTAGGTTTATAATTGGTGGATTTTAGGGTTCAAAAGTTTACGGTTTGGGGTTTAGGTTCATAAGCTGAGGGTTTGCTCAGAAGTTTCGGATCTAGTTAGGGTTTGGAGATTCTGAATAGACCGATCTGGCGTTCGACGAATTATCCGGGGTTTAGGGTTTCTAGTGTTTAGAATCATGCTTCAGCATGCGTGCATTTACGGTTTTGGGGATTATACAACCACGTGCTTCTTTATACTTGCCAGAATGGGCTTTGCCACTTGAGAAGGGCTTATCTCGGAACTGTCACAACCTTAAACGCAGACCCTTTAAGCCCTAAGCCTGAAATCCTCGCAAGCTCCGCACTCTGCTACGCATTTTTAAATACATCCAAAGGGTCCAAGTAATGGCATAATCTATGTCTTGGGGGAACCACTTATCTACTAAGAACATATCCTTGGATCTGTTAAGCAGCTGCTGGCCAGCTACCCCAGAGAGGTGCCAGCTCCCTTGAGAAAATCCAGCTGCAGGTGTTAGGGCTTTGGGGATAGCCTCGGCTTTATGATCCTTTGTAGTCCTATGTGCTGAAGGTCTTTGAAGAGGTCGGCCTACCTTAACCCTACATAACCTACCTGACCCTACCTGATTAGGGTGCCTTAGTTATGATTTCCTTATAAACATCCTTAACAAGGTTGGTTTTGTAGGGTCCAGGTAGGTTCACTGCGATGTGGTAAGACTCTGATCTTGCGCACAGACAATGTGCAGCTGCATGCTCGGCATCCCGCCAGAAAGAGGGAGAAAGCGATGACATGCATCACATGTCGGAAGTAGTTTTAGCCGTAAAGCCCTACGCCCAAGGGGACTACCCTAAACCCTAAACCCTAAACCCTAGACTTCTTTCCGGAAGCTGTGCTCATTGGAGGATAGTTGGCTTCGGGTATAAGGAATGCTGTTTGCGAGCTTCCGGGTTCAGGCTTCGTGGCTTAGTTAGGGATGTTGCCCGTAATATATAGAAGCCTGAATAATTGCACTTTCTTTTTTTTTCTCCGTGGGGCTCCTTATTGTAACTATGTTATTAAAATATGTTCTATCCCAAGACCCTATTCTACTTGTTACNNCCCCCCCCCCCCCCCCCATTAGGACTTGGGACTGCGACTTGCCGGGACATCTTGGGGAGTTGTGCCTTTTTAGAGGAACTCGTACAGGAACCTTATCGATCGTTTTTTAAAGGTGCCCTCAAAGGTGAAACGAAGGAGTGTCCCCTGAACCCTAAACGCTCAAACAGGGCTCAGGATTTTGCGATGAGGAACAGACCCGATGCAAGCCTGTTAGAGAGGGTTTAGGGTTTAGGGTTTGGTTCAGGGCCAAAGCCAAGTTTCAGAAGGCGGGGTGTAGTATAGAGGACTGGAAAAATCAGAAGTCAGACAAGCATATCGTCCACACACACACACATATATATATATATATATATGTATATACATATCACTAGATATGCAGTATGAATATGAGTATGGCATTCACCAAGACTCTATTGATTCCAGCCCGTTATTATAGTAAAACGGAAACTATAGAAGCCTAAACCCAAAAGTTGAGGTCATGGTCCACCTGTCCATGGCGCCGCAGGCGAATCGAGCAGCCAACGATGATCCCCAAAAGCCAGTTCAGAGCGTATAGGTATAGAGTTTATAAGGTTCAGGGTTTAGGTAGGAGGGTGCAGGGTCCGGCGCTCAAGACATCATTGTCAGCCTCCGGGTTTCGGGCTTCGAAATCAGATCGTATACTATACCATAATATACTATACCATGCTATACTATATTGTAGTATACTATACCATGCTATACTATCCCATACCAGACTATACTATACGAGTACCAGAAGCGCAGGAAGCGGCGACCGAGTGGCCACAGCAGGCGGTACTGGCTCTGCAAGTCTTGTCTCAGGAGGAGCCTCTCATTTGTGTTTTTGGTTGAGGGTTTAGGGAGTTTAGGGTTTAGGGTTTAGGGTTCAGGGTGGTTTAGTGCTTCATATAGGAGGGTTGAGAGTTAAATGCTGGGTAGAGTTTATTGCAAGGGCTTCGAAATTGAACAGGGGCTTACGGGGGCTCGTCTGTAGTCATAGTAAGTTACAGTATAGGAGTTCTACTCTGAGGGTCCTACTAAGGTAAGGGCCTTTATAAGTAGGCACGGGGTACATATGATATTACTATTCTTATTATAAGAAAAGAGCCCAGAGAAAGTGCTCGCAATATTGTTGGGCCCTTGTGTTAAACTATACTTACACAAAAGGCACCCTGAAATAGTATTCGTAATATCTTAGGCCCCTTAACACCCTAAACCCTAAACCGTGGAATGTAGACGAGGAGAGATTTTGGGCTCTTGGCTTCTGCGAAGTTGGAGATTTCAGACTTAGAAAAATATGTTCCCTTCTTGTCCCTCCTGGTTTCTAGCGTTCCCTAAATTGCTTCTGCCTCCCACTGAAAAACTTCTCGCGAAGTTGCGCGATGTGGAGTCCGACGTGCACCCCAGTTTGTGTTGACCATGGCGATGGCGTTGCACCACCGGGACGCGGATCAGCAGGAATGCTTTGAGGAGGCTTGTCGCAAACTGTGGTCGGTGCCAGAAGAATTGCTGCCCTCGTGCTCTGTATTTGCCTCAAAGTTCCTCGGCTGCGCCAACCTTAGCGAAGCCATCGGAGCACAAGCAGTAGTAGCAGCAGTAGCAGT